AAAAAATTTAAAATTAACTTTTAAAATAATTTTTAAATAAATTTTTAAAAAAGATTTAAAAGTATATTTGCCAATATTTAAAATTTTTTAATAATAATTTATAAGAAAAAAATTTATTTTTAAGGAAAGTACACTTTTTTTTTAACAAAAATAATAATTAAAAGTTAAGGGTTAAAATTAATATTTTACATTTTAACAAACTCCAACCACTGATCGATATGTATTTCACTGTTTTTTTTAGACTGCAGTGACACCACTGGATACAACAGGAAAATGCAAGGAAAGTACACCTTATGCCTTGCGAAACAATAAACACCTCTAACTTAACATGGACGGAAAATTTTGGATTGGAATAATGAAAATTTCGCGTGAATTGCCATCTGATTTTGACACGTGTAAAAGGATAGCTTAGGTGGCATGATCATTGAGTAGTGGAGCAGGCTGCGTCGACTTTCTGGCACTCAGAGCTTGCCTGCAACCATTCTGGTTCTGGAAAAGGTACGTTCCGATTGTCTTTCTCTTCTCCGGTGCCGTCAGGAAGTGAAGCAAGAGACGGCAGGGATGGGTGGTGATGCGATCAGCCCTTCTAGTACCACTTCTGGTAGTCACATACACCCTCTTTCTTTCTCCGTTTTCTTTCCCTTTTCCCAATATGGGACTGTAATAATTCTTTATCTTGGTGTGTGCAAATGTTAAACATCGTAGAAGGATCATCCTCAGAGGGCCAAGGTTTTCATAATTCATCATGGGCTGGTTTCAGGTACTTAGAATGTCTGCCTTTGAATTGCAAGTTTCCTGCTTTGGGTTTGCTGTTTTTATAGCAGAAGAACCCACCTAGAATAACCTGAATTGTATGATCGTTGAATGGATCAGCTTGAAAAGGTTTAACGGTCATTGCCTTTTACAGTTTTACTTTACTTTTTCTGTTCTTTGATTTTGTCTTCCTACAATTCTCCTGCAATTGAATGTTTCAACTGAACGTGGTGCTTAGTGCTGTGTGTCAGTGTGTGGTAAATTATGTTGATGATGGTACTGTCTCTGATGGGTGAGGGTTGATTTTAGTGAGAAAGCCGAGGATGGAAATAGCGAAGGGGATTATGAGGTGGTTTCTGGATTACTCGACCTACCTGAGGATGGATATAGCAAAGGGGATTATGAGGTGGTTTCTGGAGAACTCGACCAAGTGGGTTCTCGATTTTCTTCTTCCTCTTCTCTGGATTTTGAGGCTGATCAAAGGAGGAAACGCAGAGTTTACAAAGAGGTCTTGCAGAGTTATGCTCAACTGCGGGTTCGTTGTGAGAGTCTTAATGAGGCCAAGAGCAAGGTTTTAAGGTATTCATTTCAACCCAAGTTTATTCATGAGAAGTGTTTCGGTATTACTATTTTTTGTTTTTCTTCTTTGGACACAGAATGCAATTTTTTCATCACAGGATAAATTGTGATATTGTATTTCGCCTTTCCTGCTTCTGTTTAACTTAGAATGGCAAACATGGTTAGTTTAAGTTGCATGGCGAGTGATCAATTGGTATTTTGTTTGATCTTGGCAGCTACTATCCTGGAGCATGGATTGGGAACACAGGTGGCATGAAACTTAGTGACTATGATGTGCCAGAAACAACAACACTTGTTTTGATTGGTCCAAAAGGGTGTGGAAAAAGCAGTCTTGTCAACAGGATTTCAAGGGCACTTGAAGATGACAAGTTTGCACCCGAAAGAGCTCAAGTATCATGTCAGATATTAAATTCATGAAGGATGAAGTTTTGTTCTAAATTTTAATTATTTGGGGAAAAGAAAACATAATTTTCTTGTCTACCTTCTTATACCGTGCAGATAATTCATCTGTTGGAGATGGTACCTGCTTTCTCCAAGAATATATGGTCCCCAGAGGTTCAACTTCTTTCTGCCTTTATGATACCCGAAGTTTGTCTGATAACCCATCTGATAACATTGATACAATAACAAATTGGATGACCAAAGGTGTTTGTCATGGGGAACTTGTTTTGAGGTCTGAATTTCAAGCTTCTCAGCATTTTTGCTTCTGCAAGTAATATTTTTCCTATTTTACATTTAGTCAGTTTTGTTATTAACTTGTCAGGAAATCAGATGTACCAAGTTTAAGGAGTATAATGAAGTGTAAAACTCGAGAGAAAAATTGTTTGTCCACTAAGATCCGGATGGTTAATTTTGTCATTTTTGTTGTTGATGGGGTTGCTGTGTTGAAATCTATGGAGGGTGATGGCAATGGAATGACACGGTACATGCAGACAATTACTAGAGCATTTAAATGTCCATGCTTGTCATTAAAAGGTATTAAGATATTACTAACATAAGATATTTGATCTCATTGTTTTCTTTATGGAATTAATGCATGACTTCAATTTTTGCACTTTTGCAACAGTTTCCTTCCATTTTCACTCTTTTTTATTGTGTTATTTTTAAATATGTTGGTCAAAACAGCATTGGAAGAGAAGATCTCAAAAAAGGCCAGGCAGTGGATTGTGAGATATTAGCAAATACACCCCCCCCCTCCCACTCCGTCCCTTTTTACCCCACAAAAAAAAAAGAAGAAGAATTAGATTAAAGGTGATGGGATTAATGAAAGCATTTGAGCTGTGGATTTATGGATTAGATTACTTGTTGAATTAATACAGTTTGATCTCCATGTTCCAATGGCATATTTTCCTTGAGCTTCACAGGGAGGGATACAAAGTCTCAAGGTCCTTGAGTGAAATTTTCTTTGTTTTGCTAATTATTTGCCATTCAATAGCAACACATCGATGCCATATTGTATAACATGATTTTTTTGCCCTTTGGTGTAAATACAAGGAATTTAAGATGATGCAAAAATATCTGAATGACATGAAGCATTGAGAAATACTTTGAATTTTTGCATATGGTTAATATTTTGAACTTTTATCTTATGCGCTGTTGTATTCTCACTTTTTTCTCTTCCTAGTCCCTTTTATTTCTATTTTTAAGATTCACTAATATAACTGTTTTTTGAGTTCAATAATTGCTAAATCTTCTGTCTTCTTCTTGGTAAGATGATAAACCCGTTGTAGTGGTCACCCATGGTGATTTACTTTCACTTGCTGACCGTGTCCGGGTCCGTGTCCATTTGGGAGAGCTGCTGGGTATTCCTCCTGTAAAACAAATTTTTGACATTCCAGGTGATTTCATCAGCTGGTTCTTCTATGTTTTCTTTCACTGTGGTAATATGAAAATTAGCTTTTTGCAGTTGATAGTTGATGTGATTGACTAGATTTCAAAGATTGACAATAGCCCCTTGGGCTTGCAGGAAATTTGGATGCAGCAACAGAGTTGGCAATAGTTGACATGTTGCGCTATTCACTTGAGCATGCAGATCGACATATTCCTTTGAGAAATGCTGAATCATCTTATCAGATAATTCAGCAAGAAAGGAATCCTCACAATAGGTTAGAAGAGGAAAAGAAAATTGATGAGGTTTGTCCTTTATTCAAAATGCTATATATTCTTTGGTACAATGCATTCATCACTTCTAGGGAAAGAAGCCAAAAACTTGCCTAAATGGCTCAAACTCATATTCCAGGAACCATGTTGAAACTTGAGTTGAATCAGTGACATGAGTGTTTCCCACCCTCTGCTCTACCATTGAGCTATCCATTCAAATATCGAGAATGTCTTACCTGATGTCATTCAGATCTTATTTCCTTGTTCTTATTGACCACCTGCATTTGTGATATATGAACTCTAATGATGTCAATATATGATTTGCTACTGATGATATATACTTGTTGCGAGCAGGATAACATCATGTTTGGTATCTTTGTACTTCTTATTGTCATTGTTGCGGTGGTGATGGCTGTGTTTTTAGTCCAAGATGAAACAGAGCCGCAAGTTGATTGGCATGCTATCAGGCACATATGGTAGCCTCTTATCTATGAAAAACAATAATATCTTAAATGATTTCATGAGTGTATGTAGTTTTTGGTTTATGACTTCTGCATGTGGAGCTTGCCTTCTTTAAATGAAAGTAACTTTATGTACTCGTGTCAGGACTCCAGTTGTACAGGCACTTTATCAATCGATTGCTCATCACTATGTAATTTCAGTTGACTGTAGATTTTAAATTTCTACTATCATTGACAGTTTTGTGCTGAATATTTTGTGCCTTATTCTGTACCACTCCGAAGCATCAGAAAATACCATAGGAGAGCTGCAAGATTGATTTTTTCCAAAAAAAGTCATAAGCTAGTTAGAAACATGTTTATAAGTGATGGCACGAGATTCAGATAGGAAAAGGGGAAAAGAAAGCACCACCAGAACCCTTGCATACATTCCATTGAACCAAACATGAAAAAGCAGCGTTTTTTCCACATACATGTTACTCAGAACAAGATAAAACCAGTAGGGCAAGAAGAGTGAAACATTGATATTTTCTTATTTCAACATTATGTAAGAGGGCACATGTTCCAATGATTTCCTATATTTGGCAAAAGCCAAAAGAATAGTATAGGGAAAAACCTGTGAAAATTTGTAGTTATTGAATCAATGGCATCCTTGAAATTTTCTTTTAAAGGAATAATGCTACAGACATTAAAATTTGAAGAAAAAAAAAATTCTTCTTTCATCCGCATGGTTGTGCCTTTCCTGAAATTTCCAACTAAAAAAAAATTCCCTGCGACCAATAAACCCATAATGAAATGTGACAATTTATGAAGATCATCTGAGGCAGCTTATCCTTCCATATCAGTATTTCAACATCACTGACTACGGCAAAATCTTGAAATAGATTAGGAGGTAACATTTCTGCTCTAGTTATGTTTTTCATACTCCAGATGTAGTGATGTTTGGAATGCTCTGTAAAAAGATAGCCCTCGCAGCAGGGTCATTTGAAAATTGGCCCAGAACAGCAATAGTTGCTGTGCTGCTACCAAACTTCTCTATCCCTCTGGAGATCATACAGGTATGACTAGCCTCCACAACTACCATGACATCACCTAAGATTGATGAAACAGTCTCAGCGATTTGCCTGGTGAGTCTTTCTTGTACTTGGAGCTTGAAACCATAAAAATGTACTATAGACTGCAAAAGAGATTTTCCAATGGGATTGAGCCCTTCAGGACGGAAGTATCCAATGTGTACAACACCGTGAAAAGGAAGCAGATGATGCTCGCATTGTGACCAGAAGGACAGGTTCAGCTCAGAGTGAATATGTTTTTTATTGCAGGAGGCTTCTCCATTGGTTTTATGAGGATCAGTTTTGCCAAAAACAAAGCCATTCAGCTTCATCTCCAAATTAGTATTCTGGAAGTTCATCAACCACTTTACAAAATGGCTAGGGGTTTCTACAAGCTCTTTCCTTGATGGATCTTCACCCAAAGATCTGAGTATTGAAGCCACTGCAGAAACCATTCCAGGATTGGCTGGTGCAAGCTCAGAGGATATTTTAGCGCCAGAAGAAGAGCAGGAAGGACACCAACTCTTTATAGGGTCTCTAGTCTGAATTTTCTCCACATTAATTCCCCTGAATTTCAAAAGGCCCAAAAAATCAACCCAAACATCAGAATTTTCATTTTCAAAAACCCCTGAACCTGCAGAAACCAGTATCTTTACCCATCCTTGATGGTTTGGGTCAAGAAATGCTGTCTCTAAATTTGGGAAATGGATATGCAAACATTGGAGTACGACAGCAACCCCTGCTGGCTTGATTCCATAGTGCAGAGCTAAACACACTTCATCTGCCAGGCGTTGAGGCTCTTGAAGTCTTTTTGCAAAGATGTCAGCAACTCTAGATAGTTTGCTTAATCCAACAACTCGTTGACCAGATGGTACATAACCTACATGACACTTCACCTGAAATGGAAGCAAGCAAGACTCACAATATGAAAAGTGGTCAAGATCTCGAACAACCACAAGCCCACCAGCTCCTCCTGCTTGACCTACTTCATTATCCAAACCCACTTCAGGGAATAAAGCTCCCTGAACAATGTCCTTCACTTTTTGTTTGTAACCTGATGTAGAAGGTAGATGGCCTTAATCAGAAATTTTGTAAGCATATATTGCAAGATGTATGCCAATACAAAAAACAATATCTAAACAGACATACAGGAAAAGGTATGTATAAACGCATACATGTATCCATGTACACATGTGTGAAAAAGAGAAAAAGTATTTACAAGCTGCACATATGCATACAATAGAACAACCCTTATATTATATTATACTACATTAACAGATCAAATTGTTAATTCATTTTTTCAATAACATGAATAATTTAGGCCATATTTTAACTGACACAGTTTAGAAGCAACATGCTCAAAACCCCAAAATCAAGCATATATACATCGATAATGAAAGAAACAGCTTCTCTGCTCAGCAAAACAAGTAGCAGTTTATGCCATCAATCTTTAGTAAACTTATTGTGCTAGGAAATTTGATCTTTTTAACATATCATGAAATTTTGAAATCTGATCTGTATCTCCTAGACGCTCAGCTCCTAGAAATGCCAAGGAGTAAATTAAACCAAGGCTGAAGGTTAGACCCAAACATCATATAGAGCCTAGATATGGTTAGGGAAGGCTCTATTGACTTGCCAAAACACACATCTTATGCAAACGAAGGCTACTGGATTAAGGACAGTTGCTCTAGGAATGCCATCTGTTGTAGATTGAGATAAAACATCTTTAAATACTCATACTTCTATCCACACTGTAGAGCAATCAAGTAAATGATACATTTCCACAAGTTGCATGTGGGTTACCTAGGCCAAAAGGACCTCGGAACTGAATCAAAAAATGTAGGTCCAAATTGAAACTAATAATAATAAAGAAAAAGAACCAAGCTATATTCATAAGACAAGCTCAAAAAAAAAAAACACCAAACAATTTCATCACCATCGAAGATAGTGAAAAATTTCACTTGGGAACACAACGCATGCAAAAAGGAGCATATATTCGGGAACATGCATGGTAATGACCAATCACTAAAATAAGTATATACCAGCTCTCAAGCATACTGGCCAACTTACCAACCAAGTCTCAACGAAGATAATCATTATTCTATTCTTGAATAACCAGACAAAGAAGACTAAATTAATCATCATTTTCAATTGAGTCCGGAATACAATAGGCTGATAAATTAAAACAAGCAGATCTTTTCCTAGTATATAAAAGAAAGCTAGTTATAGGAGGTGAAGGAAGCAATAGGTACCTCTTGTTCCTTCCCGAAGTGCCTTGGCAACTCGTAGAGGGGTCTTCTTAAGACCTTCTCTATTGACATCCTCTCCCAGACCCTCCAGCAGAACTTTCACTGCATCCTCAATAGCAACAGTCTCAGGTTCGCCCTCAAGACCCAACTCAAGGCAACCCAGTTTCATTCCATTCTCAAGCTCCACATCAAAATGCTCCTCATCCAAAGCGCCCATTGAGAGACCACAAATCCCACAAACAACACCGACTTAGATCCTAAATTTGAACGAACTAATAGAATCAAGACTTCGAACAAGTCCAAAATCAAGTAACCAACAATGAAGATAAGACACAAAACCCAGATGTGAATCAAATCTGAGGTACCCAGATGCAAAACAAATTCAAAATGAACACCCGTCAAACTAAATCTGAATGAAATCCTCTAAAGAGCCAAAGCCACAAGACAGCCAAAACCCAGAAATCAATAGGGAAGATAAGGGAAATTCAGAGTTACCCGAATAGAGGCGAGCAGAAACAAAAGTAAGTAATGGGTTAAGCAAAGAGATACACAAGAGAATGAGAGATAAGAGACGTAGGAAGTGAATGCAAATGTAGGGCTGCTGTTGATCTTTGAAATGTGTGGATCCAACATATAATAATAATCGAAAATTTCCATGAAATCTCTGCGTCCGGAAGTGGGCCCATCATCACGAATCGGGAGCCGCAAGATCTGGGTTTCGTGTATTACTCGCAAGCTGCCAAGCTCCAATCTTTTCTTATTTCCGGTCTGTAATTAAATGCCCACGATTTCTGTAAAGCCGAGAGCCGCCGTAGGAAAAGGCGACCGAAGTCGAGAGGAGGCCGTGTTCCTGGCTCTGACGGTCACAATTTGGCCTACGGTATTATATAGCAAAGGCTTAATCTTTTTGACCCTTTCTGTACTAAAATGATAATAACAAAGGTTTGATCTTTTGACCAACTGAAGTAAGAGCTAAAGGAATTCATAACCCTGATTGAGTCCCTGAACTTTAGTTCTTTTCCAGTTTCACCCTCAAACTTTTTTTGGGTTAATTAAGTTTTTTTCTTTTTCTTTTTCTTTTTCTTTCGTCGAGTGTTGATTAAGCTTACGTACCATAAGCCATGACAAGCCAAAATTAATGTCAAGCCACATGATCATGAGATTAGAGAATGCTTTGGGTAGTTAGCTTTTACTACATATGTAACTGAATTAGGTAGAGATATTTACAATTTCATTTAATTTAATTTTTGAAAATTTGTCATTCATATCAACATAATCCCTTAGGAGTATTCTAATTCAATTCAGTAATTTTATCAAAAAAATATTTAAATTTGCTTAGTTTTGGCTATTACTACCTAGAATTAAAAACCAAACCAATCAAATTAATTATGAACCCCCACCATTCAATCCATAGTCAATTTTCAATTAATTTGGATTGGTTCGATTCAATAAAATCATATCCAGGTAGGAAAAACTCATTATCCCCTTATTCGATTAAAAAGTGAGCTTTTGTTTTCTAAAATTTACTATGTTCAATTTCATGTTAGATAAGAGAGGAAGAACATCATAATGATCTTCATAGTCATCTTGTGTGTTAAGTTTAAGATTCATATTTTGTAGTCAGCATTTAAGGAAATTAATTTTTTTTAATATAACAAGTTATTATAGAGTTGCTTTGAAAATCGTCTAAAGAAAACTTTGTTTTTAAGTACACGAAAGTTTATTTAAAACTCTCTTAACTATTCAATGAAGAAAAATAAAAACATCACAATTACATAAGGTCACATGACATTTCCAATTAACTTTGGCAATAACTATCAAATGCTGCAAAAACATATAAATATACAATTACTAGTGAAGTTGAGAAAAGGATGCAAATTCAAGGACTAACTTCCGCATTATTCCAAGCTAAAGGGCAATGGGCAAAGGCAGCCGTGGTGAGGATCATGTATGGGGCCCGGACCTGTAATGGTTACATCTCACCAACCCACCAAAGGGAAAAAGCAATTACAGTCCATCCGTTCGGGATCTAGCATATGTGGTAGGAAGATGCCTTGGTTTACCTTGACTATTCGAGTCACTTTGGAGCCTAATGTCAATGTCAAGTTGGATGTTTGGTGGTGTGTTTGGTGCCCTTCGGGAGAGCAATAGTTATTGGAAAACTTATAAGTGTTAGGCCACACATATTTTTATATATTATTTTTAAAAATATTAATTTAATTTAATTGTTAAAAATAATTAAAAATTATAATAACTAATTTTTGTTACTTAACAAATTAAGATTAGTCTATGTATATTATAATTAATTGTTAAAAAAATAATATTTATGTAACTCAAACACTTTTCAATGTGGTCATAATTTCACCCAAAGACTAAATATCTCTTTATATAATTGAGCCCTATAAATTTAACAAGAAGAAAAAAGTTACTCCAAAAATATAATTGCAATTCAAGGGTTGAGTAGTTGAAGTTTATATTGTTAAACATGGACATGTGGAAGCTGAAGCAGCACATTTTATATTTAATTCATGCATATTTCTCTCTTATTATTTTAAGGAAATGACAATCTTCATGTCCGACTTGCAAAAAAATTTATAACATCCGACTTACAAAAAAATTTATAACAGTTCTTGTGAAAAGATGTAAATATTTTTAATGAATCACTTATGTCTATATAAAGATTAAAATACAATTAATTCATCAACATGCATAAATAATTTATTTAAAATATTAAAACAATTTCAAATGCATTTATATATATAT